GCTTCTCACCCAGCCGGGTGCTCGGCCGAGTGCAGTCAGAGGTGAGGGTGGCGACGTGCCAGCCTGGCTGGCTTTCCTGCCACGCGGGTCTTGGGCACGGCCGCTGCCGATCCCACCCAGCGGGCGAGGTGGGCGTGAGGTGACCTCCTGATGGGGATAGCAGGGTTTCGGCTGCAGGTGCAGTAGACCAAGCTTCTTTGGATCCAGATGAGCAAAAGGGCCGCTGATTTTATTTAATTAACTATTTGGCTGCGCCACACGGATCTTAGTTCCCCGACCGGGGACTGAACCCGTGTCGTCAGCAGTGAAGGTGCCAAGTCCTAGCCACTTGGCCGCCAGGGAATCTCCCTGATTCTAAACACTTTGTGAAGCCATGTGAAGGTCTGAGGTTTTCCATTTACTTATGCAGCAAGTTTTTTGGGGAATATGTATTATGTGCCAGGAGACAAGGACACTGTTTCTAAAGAGAAGTTCAGCCAAAGGGTATCCGAGCGCCTACTGCTGCCTGGGCCTGAGGCTTCAAGGATGAGGAGAAGGTTCTGCCTCGGAAGGCACCACAGCCTGGCGTGGGAGTGACCAGCCCGTGGGGCCCGAGGGATGCGGCAGGGGAGGGGGCCAGTACCAGGCCACGCCCGCTGTCTCAGGGGTGGGGCTGAGGTGACAGAACCCACCAATGGTGGCTCGCCCCTCCACCCAACTCCACATCCTGCGTCTGCCGGAGGATGCGGCGGGACAATCACGTGGGTGTGAGGACCAGGTGGAGGCTGCAGGGAAATGGTTCAGGAGTTCAAAGGGTTAGTATACAGACTACGTCAGCCACTTGCTGTGACCGGTTTGGTGTTTCTCCGGTGTTTCTCCAGCTGGGAGTCACGGGTGCCTGGAGCTCCGAAGGTCTGTGAATCCTAAGCGGGGGAAATGCCAACTACACTTTAACTGGCCGAGTTCTCCGACCCTGAGCGCTCCGGACGCCTTCCCACCGTCCAGCCTGCACCCATGCTGATGAAATCAGAGCCCCTGGGGTGGGACCCTCCAGGTGAACCCTGTGCTTGCATGTACCCTACTGGGCTGTCCTGTCCTCCTGGTTCGCCATGCGGCCTCGGGCAGTGCCTTGGGCAAGTGATTGCTGTAGAGCCCAAATCTGTGAAACACACTTACCAAAACCTGCCGTGGAATGGTTCGCAGAGTTTAACATGCACATGAGACGTTTCGCCCAGGGCCTGGCACGCAGGAACGTTCACTCAACGATGGCTTGAAAAATGTTTAAATGATAGCGGAAGCAACGTAGGACACCCCCCCCCCCCCGCCCCGCGTCAGACACACTCTGACAGCCGGGCACCCGCTGACCTGCATCCGGGCCCTGAGGCGGGCCTCGCTCGCCCTCCAGTTAGCGCTTCTGCGCCCTGGAAGTAAGAACCAAGTTTGCCACTGCTGTGCTGCTCAGCCCCTGTGCGACATCGCTGCCCTGCGCTGGGGTTTCTCCTGTCTTCTTCCTGACCAGCCTCGGGGGGTCCCTGAGCCCTGTCCCTCAGCCTCCCTGGCCTATGGCACTCACGGTCTCTCTCCAGCGCTCACGGAGGACCTGCCCTGCTCTCCTGACATCCTGGAGTTTATGCCCGAGACGGATGCGGGACAAGCGTGTCCTTTACCGTCTCCACGCTGGTTGAGACACAATAGGATGGACATTTCCCAACCTGAGCACACAGCAAGAGCTTGAGCACAGTTTTAAAAAAAAATTATTTGTTGATTCTTGGCCGCATTAGGTCTTTGTTGCTGTGCGCAGGCTCTCTCTAGTTACAGTGAGCGGGGGCTACTCTTCCTTGTGGTGCGTGGGCTTCTCATTGCAGTGGCTTCTCTTGTTGCAGAGCACGGGCTCTAGGTGCGTGGGCTACAGTAGTTGTGGCGCACGGGCTTAGCTGCTCCACGGCATGTGGGATCTTCGCGGACCAGACCTCAAACCCGTGTCCCCTGCCTTGGCAGGCGGATTCTTAACCACTGCGCCACCAGGGAAGTCCTTGAGAACAGTTTCTAACGTGCGTAAATAACCCAAGCCTAACGGGGCAGAGCGCATCTTGGTGGGTGGCGGAGAATTAAAAATGTCAAATTTCCTGTCTTTTTAACCTGTACGATTTGTTTCTCCTGGCGGCTGGCCTATTACGCATCACACACCTGCACGGCGGGGCTGGCCGCGCTGCTTCTCCACTTGGATCACCGGAACACGCAGGCAGAGAAGACAGAAGAGGGCCTGTAGGAGGAGGCGGGGAAAAGGCAAAACCAGTTGCTGCCACCAGGTAATGGGTTGTAATGGGTTTGTGACAGACAACTGCCAAAACGAGGGTGAGCTGCGAGGTGGGTGAGGGAGCCCGAGGCAGAGCAGAGCATTTTGGGAATGCTGGAAGGACTAGATGGTCAGAGATACACAGCCGCCCGACTAGCTCAGGTGGCAGAGCACAAGACTCTCAAGTGGCCAGAAAAACATCTCCGTTAAGACGAGCTTCAATAGCACAACACCTTACCTCAAACCTTTCCTCCGGGGAGAGGACCTTTCCAGAACGCCTCGAGTTTCCCCTCCTGCGAGTAAGGGCAGCTCCTGTGCGCTTGGCCCGCGGGCACCCTCCCCAGGGAAGCAGCACGTGAGGCCACATCTGCTCCAGGTTCCCTGGCCCCCCCACTTCCTGGGTTGTTTATGGGGGCACAGTTACCCCTTCACCCGCCACTGGATCCCCGTCTGTGCTCTGCGCTGCGGCCCCCTCACATCGCTGCCCCTGACTGGAGCCAAGGAGCCCTCCCCCGGGCCGGCGGCCTGCTCAGGGGCACCCAAGTCAGACAGTACCCAAAGGTGAAAACATGACGACAGGACTCACACCTCAGACTCACGTCCTTTCTCCACCGCAAAGAGAAGCTAAGAGATTTTTTATTTCATCAATAATTAAGGGTATACTAGTATGTCTACCTCAAAATAATGCTGAATTATTTAAGACACGGTATTACAGTAGTCACACAGTTCATGGGGCAGGGACGAGAACCAACACGCTGGAATGACACACCTGAATTATACATCAAAATCAGTGTGGCAAATTGTCCTCCAATTATTCTTGAGAAAAACACTGCACGAGTTAAAAGCTAAAAAGCTTTGCTTAAAAAAACCTGTGTGAACAGGATAAGCTTAGACCCTCCAAAACCAGATTAAAAACTGGCCAAGTAAAACAAATGAGAAAAACTGGTTCAACTTTTCAAATATACTAAATTATGTCAAATATATTATACCCAGGCAGTTTAGCAAAATAAAGCATTACATTGTACTTAGTGGACATGGTCATTATATTTATTTCTTAACGACCTCACAGTAGGCTGATTAACCTGTTCGGATAAAGAATGACCTGAAAGCAACGCTGACTGAATGGAAGGTAAAGAAAGCAAACATTCCCAGCCAATTTTTCATGAACATGGATGATACAGTTTAATGCAGACCCAAGGCCAAACATTTTTAGGGGGTAGGTTTTACTTCCAGTACAGATTCTCTTCAAGTGAGATCATAAAAATACAATACAAAGTGACGAACCCAAAATGCATGCAGCAGGCCACGTGAACACACACGCCTCCCAGCGAGGGACAGTAGCAGCTAAAGCCAGTATCGCTAGGGCTCATCATGGGAACCGAATCATCAGGTACAAGGAACTAGAACAGACTGAAGACAGGGAGCATCACTCCTCGGCACTCAAGGCTGATTTGATTATTTCAATGACCAAAATAATCCCCGTGAGAGATCCAACGTGACCGTGGATGGGCTCGCTGTCCTATGCTCAGCCCCGATGCGCAAAGATGAACAGTTTGAGCCATCTCTGCGAGTTACGGAAAACACTGCTGGAAATGAATGCTAGAGGAAGAACTGCTTTCAAACAACAATGGATACTCCGAAAGGACAGGCTAACATTTAACTTTCAAGTCTGAAATTAACGTGAAGCAGTGGGGCCTGGTGCAGGATGTGTGTATGTCTGAAGTGCGTTAGAGTACAGCCTTGATTGCCCAGTGATATAACGCCAACAGTGCTTGAACTTAAAAACTCCTCAAGATTTTAAGAGCACCCTAAAATTATGATACAGAATAGCAATCCTGAAACGACTTTGGTCGGCATGAGCTACCAATAAGCTGCATGGAAAGCCCGCTGGACGTGCAGGTGGAAGGCTCACGGCCCAAAGACCTCTGATTGCCCTTTGACCCCACTGTCCGATGAATCTATAACATTTCTAGTAGGAAAGACATATCAAGGGCTTTTAATTATTGGGCAGTACTGAGACAAAATGAAAATTTTTTAGGGCTACACGTTTATAATCTTTTAGGTATTTAGGGCTATTCCTTTATCCATCTTATTTTTAGCTGTTTCCAAAGTTATCAAATTAATATCTCTGAAAGAAAAGAACAAATTACTATAGAGCTCAAAAGATGTACTCTAATACGATTATTTTGTGAGAGCTGACTACAGAGTAGTCTGTTAGTTATAATACTGGGGGCAGCAAGTTATCAAGGCACTTCAGAACTCTGGGAAATTCTTTTGTTCACGTTAACAGGCAACTGGTAATCTTGGATCCTCAAAAAGTATGTACAGAAATATGTATACCCTTTAGCAGAAGAAAAAAATTTCCTGCACTGACAGACTTTACTGGCCCTTTCAGGCACTAGAGAAGCATCCATGTGCCAATAACATGAGCTAAGGAATGCAGCAGGTGCCCGGAGTGCAATGTCTGCAGGCGCAGGGAGCTGATGCTCGCTTCCTCTGAACAAGCTTCAAAGAGCTGGTCCTGCAGGGCTGCTGACAGTTTCTGCTCTCATACACTGTAAAACAGCATCGGGAATGTTTAACAAGTTTGTCCCTTATGCCGCCTTGAACGACAGAAGCAGCCCATTACGTGCTACATGCAGACATTTTTGCTTATTTTAGCATAACCTGATAATTGGTAATTTCCACTTCTTTTCATTATCTTACCATGGGTGTGGGTGTTTCCTTTTTTTTTTCAAGGTCCATTAACTTCATTTAAATGTTCCCATCCTTAGTAATTTCTAAGGGAAATTCTAAGTTTAGATTTTACAAACAAAAACAACTTGAAGGTATCAGCTGGTGTTTTATCCCTTCTTCAATGCAGTCTCAAAGGTGTTTTTGCTATTCATTTTCATAATTTTATTATGTCATACACAAAAATAAGACTCCCCCTCTAAATGCAGAGTACAGGAGAAAATACACTGTATTTCAAACAAAAAATGTTTATGAAAAAACCCACCATCCAAAAAAACAAAAAGACTCCCACCCTATTAAATTGGGTGGAACCAATTGGGTTTTATAAATGAAAAAAATCCTTCTGCTTTACTTAGCATAATAAAACATTTCATTGTACTGCGTTTGTGCTTGGACCTTACTTCCATTTAACCAAAAATTTCCCCCTTCCTCATAACTGTCCTGGTATTTATTATGTAAGGTTATGTCTATTCTAGATTCTGAAACATCTGCGTTTTAATGCTTGAACAACCTATTAAAACTGTTTTAAAAGCTGCCCCTATTCCATTTTCTGATTTAAAAAAAAAAAAACAACAACAGAAAACCACACCACAACATAGTGATCCAAATGGAAAAGTTAGTATGTTGTAATATTTGTTTTTCAACATCAAAAGCAGCAGAGATACTGAATTTGCTTAAATCCTAAATACTGAGATTGACATATGCATGTATAAATCACATCCAGGCTCAACAAACTGAAAGCTCTCTATAAATACACAGGCATATGTATAAAGTGCAAAATGAGAATGATCAACCGTGGGCTCTCTGGCGTTTTAGTACTCCCATTCATCGGATTTCAAGTCGAGATAGCTGAGGATATTCTGTGCAAGCTTCACTGCCTGCTTCCGGGCAGCCTTACACTTCTCCTCTCCCTGTGGGTCAACGGCGTCCAGGGCAAGTAGCTGCTTGGTGAGCAGCTCTTCCAGCCGGATGTAGTTCTTATCATTTCGACTGCCATCAAATGAGAGAACTTCCCCTTGGATGTCTGACAAGTTTCCCAGGACGTTCCAGACCGCTTTGTGTGAGGGGTGCTCCTCACAAACAAACAGCTTTCTCTTCTCGAGGGCTTCCTTCAGGTCGATGTAAGTGATGAGGGTCTGAACTTCGATCACTGCTCTTCTCCTGGCTTCCCGGATGCAGGGGTTTTTTTCAAGACTTACCTCATCCAACTGTCCAATCAAACCCTGCAGCTCTGTTTTGGAGCTCAGGTACCATTCTGAAGGATTCTGTGCTTGAAGAAGTTCGTTTTTTATTTCTCTCATTCTCTTGAGGACCTGTTCTATTTTTAAAATGGAATGATTCTGCCCCAGGTCAAACGCACGAGTGCTATCTGCTTCCTCTTCTAAATCCAAGTACTTCAATAACTGGTTGATATCTTCCACGACCTCCTTCCGGTAATTTCTGATTTCGGTGCGGCCGCGCACGTCTAAAGCATCCAGATCGGCCATCAGCCCCGACAGCACACAAGATAAGTGCCTGCAAGTCTCACCACTGTTCACTCCCATAAGAAGGGCAATCAGAGTGCCTCTGGCCTTGTTCACTTCACACATCACAGAGTTAATTTTGGCAACTGAGGGATGCGTGTCCTCAGAAAGCGGCAGGGAAGGCTGCTTTTTCACGCAGTCCTCGATAATCTCTTGCACTGCACAGATTTTGGTTAAAGTGTGATACCGTGCTTTCCGCAAGGAGATCTTGCCTCCAGTTTTAACGTGTGTCAGCCTCAAAATGACATCCTGGATGCCTTCTTCAAACTCATCAGTTACACAGTTGCCTCCACTATAAAATGGCACAATCTTCTCTTTCACTAGGGACTGGGCTTCTTTAAAAATGTTCTCTATTTCGATCCTGTGTGGGTGGTTTGCATTCTGCTCCAACTCTTTGAGAAGACGCTCTGTCTCTTGTGCTGCCCTCTTCCTAGCTTGCTGAATATCTCCTTTTCCTTCAGTATCTACCGAGTCTATTTCAAAAAGTTGTCTTGTTAGAATCCTCTCCAGTTTCTTGTAATTCTTGTCGTCTGACAGACCGCTGAAACCAATTACTTGCTGCTCTATGCTTTTCACCTCCTTTTGGATGTCCTGAAGCCTAGTAATAGAAGGATGTTGGTTTCCCATCTCCATACTTTTGTTGTGTTCAGTTTCACAAGCACTAAAAGATGACAAACATGATAACTTATCACACCACAAAGCCTGCAGAACGGTAATCATATATTAATTCATTCTACAAAGATATGCTTAAGAAATACGGCTTGTTATTGCGATCCCAAGAACAGTCACGCTCAAGTACAGAAATTAGAGTGACTAATCAACTCCCTCTCCTGAAAACAACCTAAACGTGACAGTAATTGAGACCGGGGTTACTGCCGTGGGGAATATGAGCCAGAGCTCCGGACCTGGGAAATTCAGTTTCCTCAGTCATCAAAGAAAACGGCATATGCCTTCATAAGTATGCCACGAGGCTGAACCATCAGCTTGGAAAAAGCACAAGTACCTTAGGTCCTAACACTGGAAGCTGGTTTTTGGCAAGAGCAGGGCACATCTGCGGGATGTGAAACAGCAGCTCTCCTAACCTTCCAGACGACATGGGTTCACTGAAGCAACCCCATCAGGCCAAAGTGCTATGCCTAGTTTCAGGAAAACGAACTAAACAAAAGGAGCTGAGCCACCGAAACAAACACCAGGGGTTCGCAGACAGTCCCAAAAGTCCCCGCTTCTACTTCCTCTCCACCCTTTAAGCACTTGTGTAAAGATACCCTGTTTCTCGCCCCACCCTTTTCACACCTCACAAATCCTCCCTGCACAGGGATAAAATTCCACAGGGAAGGCGACTGGGGTTACGTTAAAGACACCACCTTGGGCTTCGGAGGCCTAGTACCCCCTGGGCCCTATCATGCTCCTCTTCTCCTCCAAACCACACCCCACGAGAATGAGACAACTATGACTAATTCATTCACCAGCCTCCCTTTAAGGGTCCAGAAGGGCTTAACGCATTTTTTTTTTTTTTTTTTACGCTCTTTCACGGGAGGGGGATGGATGCTTAACCGAAACTAATCCCCTGTGGGTGGCCGAGCCCAGAACACGCCTCTGGAAACCCAGAAGAGCAGGCTGCCTCTGCTGTTTCCTCCCCTCTCGCCCAGCCCTCCCAGCACTTTACCCAGCAGCGGTCTAAGCTGGTTTGGTCTTGGCTTCCTGTGGGTGAAGTGGCCAGATGGAAGATCGACCCTTTACGGGGTGCGGCACCGGAGCTGCGCCCCAACCTGCATCTCTCTCCCCGTCCCGGCTAGGTCTAAACGGGGCAGCCAGGGAAGGGGCCGGCGGTGGCAGCGGCAGCTACCGGCCGCAGCGGCCGCTCCGGGCGTCTCGCCCCGGCCCCACGACGCGCCCGCCGGCCTGACCTCACAATGGCCCGTGGGGGGAGGGGACGGCCGCGCTCGGCCGGGCCAGGGGAGCAGGCGAGAAGGGAGGGAACTCGGGCCCGGCCGGCTGCGGGGAGCCCGGCTCCGAAACCGGGCCCGGCGGCGTCTGACCCGGGGCGGGGGTGGCGCCCCGGGACAGTGGTCGTCCGCTGGCAGCCCCCGCCGAGGGAGGCCGCGCGCACCGCCCCCCCCCCCCCCCCCCCGCGGAGGCCTCCGCCCTCGCTCACCTGCGCAGCCCGCGCCATCGCACGCTTCGCCGCCAGAGCCCCTCAGTCCTGCAGTCGCCGGGACCGGCAGCCCCGCCCCCGGGCCGAACACCCCCCGCCCTGGGAAAACGTCCTCCGGCGTCCGCGCTGTACCTCGACCCTTGCTGAGCCCGCCGCTAGCCGCCTAGCGCAATCCCCTGAAATGCCCGCGCCCGAGGAGCTGCCACCCGGGCGCGCTCGCGCCGTTCGGCCGCCTACGCAGCCTGTCACATGCCGGGCAAGCTCATGGTCGGCCGAGTCGTCCCCTCCCGCGGGCTTTGCGACCGTGCCGTAAGGCAGCCCCTCGCACCGTCGCGACTTCGCTGTGCGTGCGGTAGCCGCCGGACGGCAGCCATGGCGGCCTTGCGACCCCCGAGGAGGTTCCTCCTTCCTCTCTGCCGCGCCTTCTCCGGCGGCAGCTGCCAGCTCGTCCCCGAGCGCGGCGGTGAGCGCAGGGATGCCGCGCCGAGCCGGGTGAGCGTGGTTCCCGGAGAGGTTGGGCCGGGAGTGACCGCGAGGGGCGACAGACCCGAGCCGCGCCCCTCAGGGACACACGTGGGCGCTCACCTGCGTCGCCGCACTGGCGGCCTCGGCTGAGCTACCCGGGAGCAGGGTCCCCGAGCCGGCACGGGCCTGGCGCGGAGCAGCGTACGCGGCGTGGGGGGACGGGCGGGTGGAGGAGAGTGGGGAGGCCCCGGAGCCCCCAAGTGTTCTGCGTCGCCGCCACCCCGGGGCTGTTGACAGAACTTCTGTTAAGTAGAGCAGAGTCAGCTAGGAAGTTTATACGTACCTTATTTCTTGTCGAGGGTAATTAGTCTTTACATTTAAAGAGCTGTTGATAAACACAGTGTGTGTGTGTGTTCGCGCGCGCTTGGCCTCGTTCAAATTATTAGTGCTTTTCGTCAAGTGATGACAAACTATCGTCATATCTTGTAGGACTTCACGTTGAACGCTTTTTCTGGTTTGGAAACTGTGTGTGCATATATGCGTGTTACTGACCAAAGATGCACAAAGATGAATATCTTTAGCAGCAAGGGGTGGCGAACAGTTTTTATAAATTGCACTGCTTTGGGGCAGGATGTTTTGTTTGAGGGAGCCGTAGGCCTTCATTCCAACTGTCACATGAAAATTTGGACTAACGGTGTGGAATGGACTGCAGATAGAATATTTAAACGAAGCCTAAAAATACTGGACCTCCCTGGCGGTCCAGTGCGTAAGACTCCGCGCTTCCATTGCAGAGGATGCGAGTTCTATTCCTGGTCGGGGAAGTTCCGCATGCCGCGATGTGCAGCCTGCCCCCGCCCCCACCAAAAAAAAAAAAACAAAAAGCATACAAAAACTAACGTTTCATTTGCCAGCAGGCTAAGGAGCGAGGCTGGCAAGCATCCTTTAAACGATAATTAAAGAAGGATAAAAAGAGCTTATTAAGAATTCCAAAACGTGCCTGCCTGTAAATTTTCATTTATTTTGGTCTGTTGCTATTAGCATGCTTTTATAAATGCAGCTTTGAAGTTCTGTCTGGTTTACAGTGTAAACAGGGAGTTACCAGGGCAACTGGGCGCCTAGACCCCAAGCCTCTGGCTCAGTTCCCTCATACAGTGGCCGCAGCCCTGACTTCTGTTCCTAGAACATAGAAACCCGCCAGCATCTCAGTCTTTGGGCAGAAAGATACTCAACAGGTATCTGAAAATGCTCTGGGAGGGCAAACAACATCAGCCAACAGCTGCCCCCACGGTGAGGACTTCGCCCAGCTTCTTTTGTGAACAAGTGCTGGAAAAAAGAACAGCACCCACGCAGGGCTTTCTCTGTCGACATACAGCCTTTTGTTAAAGTAAGTCTTACTGTGGGCCTGATCCTCGGGATGAGACCTCTGCCTTTTGCAGTCCAAGTGACAAGGAGCCAGTGCTGCGTAGCTGTTGGACTGCCTACACCTGTGAAGGCGATGATGCCGATGAGGCTGAAAGTGGAGCAGCTGACCCATGAGTCAGACCTTCCCCGTTCTAGCCTTACGACTTGTGTTGTTTTTTATTTTATTATTTATTTATTTTTTTGCGGTACACGGGCCTCTCACTGTTGTGGCCTCTCCCGCTGCGGAGCACAGGCTCCGGACGCGCAGGCCCAGCGGCCATGGCTCACGGGCCCAGCGGCTCCGCGGCATGTGGGATCTTCCCGGACCGGGGCACGAACCCGCGTCCCCTGCATCGGCAGGCGGACTCTCAACCACTGCGCCACCAGGGAAGCCCTTGTTGTTGTTTTTTAGAATGTGTTCCGCATTACGCCAGGTTTTGGATGGGACGTTAAAGAGCAGTTCTTTCCTCAGGGCAATTTGTGTTTCCTATGTATTTGGCCCCATCTTTGTGTGCTTCCTGAGCACACAGCCGGTTCTCCAGGTAATTAAATTCCTGCAGCAGAGGGAGATTGTTGTCTTTCAGGCTGTGATTTTAAATATTTTTAAAGGCCTTCTTAAAAGTCACAGGTCCTAAACCTTTTGTTTTCTTTATCTAAAGAGATATATTTTAATCCTGTATTTCTAGTTCACCCTATGTATTTTCTCATTCTTTGTTCTTCACTTGCGTTAAGGAGACCTGCTTTTAGGACCTACACAATTTATTTCCCTCTCTAATCTCTGGTTACCAGTTTATTATTATTATTATTTACTTATTTATTTTTTGGCCATGCCGTGCAGCTTGCGGGATATTAGTTCCCTGACCAGGGATTAAACCTGGGCCCTCAGCAGTGAAAACGCAGAGTCCTAACCACTGAACGGCCAGGGAATTCCCTGGCTACTATTTTTTAAAAAATAAATAAATTTATTTATTTCTGGCTGTGTTGTGTCTTCGTTGCTGTGCGTGGGCTTTCTCTAGTTGCAGCGAGAGGGGGCTACTCTTTGTTGCGGTGCGCGAGCTTCTCATTGCGGTGGCTTCTCTTATTGTGGAGCATGGGCTCTAGGCGCGCGGACTTCAGTAATTGTGGCACACGGGCTCAGTAGTTGTGGCACACAGACTTAGTTGTTCTGCAGCATGTGGAATCTTCCCAGACCAGGGCTCGAACCCGTGTCCACTGCATTGGCAGGTGGATTCTTAACCACTCTGCCACCAGGGAAGTCCCTGGCTACCGGTTTTTAATAGAAAAACATTATAGAACTTAGAGTTAAGCACCACTTTTCCTTCCAAACCCAGCTTAAACTGAGCTGTCAAATCAGGAGTTCTCTAGCTGCTTCGTACCTGCTTATTCCTTACCTTTGTTGTTTACGTCATTGGTTTACACCTTTGCCTGCACATTTGGAATGATCTGGAAGACTAAGAAATACCGGGGCCCACCCCCAGAGATTTTGATGTGATTGGTCTGGCATGCAGCCTGGGCATCAGGATATTTACTTATTTTCTTGATTTGTCTAGTTGTTTTCCCCCCAGCTCTGTTGAGATAAAACATAAGGATTCTCTCTCTCTTTTTTAAAAAAAATATTTATTTATTTATTTTTTGGCTGCGTTGGGTCTTCATTGCTGCACGTGGGCTTCCTCTAATTGCGGTAAGCGGGGGCTACTCTTTGTTGTGGTGTGTGAGCTTCTCGTTGCGGTGGCTTCCCTTGTTGTGGAGCACGGGCTCTAGGTGTGTGGGATTCAGTAGTTGTGGCTCGAGGGCTCTAGAGCATAAGCTCAGTAGTTGTGGCGCAGCTCTCCGTGGCATGTGGGATCTTCCTGGACCAGGGATCGAACCCCTGCATTGGCAGGCAAATTCTTAACCACTGTGCCACCAGGGAAGTCCAAACATCAGGATTCTTTTTTTTTTTTAAATTTATTTATTTATGGCTACATTGGGTCTTCATTGCTGTGCGCGGGCTTTCTCTAGTTACGGCGAGCAGGGGCTACTCTTGGTTGCAGTGCGCGGGCTTCTCATTGTGGTGACTTCTCTTGTTGCGGAGCACGGGCTCTAGGCGCGTGGGCTTCAGTAGTTGGGGCTCGCGGGCTCTGGAGCGCAGGCTGAGTAGTTGTGGCGCACGGGCTTAGTTGCTCCGCGGCATGTGAGATCTTCCCGGATCAGGGCTCCAACCCGTGTCCCCTGCGTTGGCAGGCAGGTTCTTAACCACTGTGCCACCAGGGAAGCCCCAAACATCAGGATTCTTAAGGGCAAGTCCAATAAGTTCACAAGTTAGGGAACCACGGTTACATGATATGCATTAATATTTGCTTATAGTCCTGAATTCCATTCACGTTTATACTGATAGTAAACATTTATCAAGCACTTGCATGCACTGTTCTGAAAACTTTACATATTTTACCTTATTTAAGCCTCAAAACTCTGTCCAGTAGGTGCTTTTATCATCCCCATTTTACAGATGAGATTGAATAATTACTTACTTTTTTACAGTAAGATTAAACAATTTCAAGATCATAATGCTTGCACATAAGGAATATACATGTTATAGTTCCTTTATCCAAAGGATAATGAATTAAAATTTTTCTTCTAGTAATTTTTAGATGAACAAAATAGAGAAACAGGCCCTCAGCATAGAGAGGTAATATTTGCAAGTAACAACAGATAATGGAACTACTGGTGTCACGTTTTGCTTACATTTTCATTAAGGAGAATGATCTCCAAAATCCCCAAGTTTAGATTTGGAATAAACCTCATAGGAAGAAGTTGAAACTCAGGATAAATGAGAAACTGGTGAGAGAGCCAGTCACTGAATTTTAAGGTTAACATGGCTATTTCTAGTATTTAAAAGGCTTTCAATAAATAGTTGGAAAACAAAGCTGGGGTGGGAGGACTTAAAAACCATGCAATTTAACTCTGTTATCATAAAGGTGAGGAAATTGGGACCCAGAGATGTAAAGTGACTGCCTGCTAATCACAGAGCAGAGCCAGGATTGAAATCAATGTTTTCCCACTCAGTCCAGTGTTCTAACGCTACCAATTGCTTTTCCTTCACCTATTGAAACAATTACATGATTTCCCCTTGTTCTGTTAATGTGGAGAATTACTTTGATTTATTGATTTTCTTTTTTTGTTACTTACAGGAAATTTAAAACATGTACAAAGATAGAAGAATATAAAGAATTGTTGTGTATCCAGTACCCTGCTTCTACAGTTATCCACTCATGGCTGTTTATTTCATCTTTAGCCCCATCCAGTCCCCCTTCCCAGATAATTTTATGCCAAATAGCAGACATATTCCATTTGTAAGTATTTCAGTATGTATCTTTAAAAGATACAGACTTAAATATATATACATATATGTGTGTGTGTGTATATATATATATATAAAACATAATACCATGTCACACCTAAAAATATTATAATTCCTTAATCCCAGCAAATTTCCAATGTTCAAATTTCTTCAGTTGTCTTAGAAATGTCATAAATGTTTTCTTTTACAATTTGCTTGTATCAGCATCCAAATAAGGTCTACACATTGAGATTGATTAATATTCTTTTAGTTTTCTTTCAGTCTATAGGGTTTGACTCTATCCCCT